CCAAGTGCACTGGGCCACACACTCCATCAGTCCCCGTGATGGGACCAAAGGTGACCACAGGCTATAGCACCACTGTCATTCCAGGTACTGCAGAATCATTAGGCTGGGACTTGTGAAAGCATCACATTAAGGAGTGATTTCTAGAAAAACTGTGAGCCTTATTTCTGTAGAAGGGACTGTAGTTTCTCTGCCACCTATAGATTCTTTAAAGACACTCTTTCAGGACCCTTTCTCTTAGCTTTCTTGTATTAATATTGATCTGGATCACTTTTTTCAGTCACAAGCTTCACTTTAATATAGCTGACCAAGCTATTATGGAGCTCCTGTCTTATGCTAGGCAGGCTCCTAGGTACTGGAGTTGCAAAGACTTGAAAGACACAACTCCTTCTGGTAAGAATACAAATCCTAAATTGATGCTATCAATATGCTGTACTCGGAGCTATAAAACAGAAATGCACCAGGACACTGTGGAAAGAGGAACTGGCCCAGACCATGGAAGAGCTTGGAAGACAAAATGCCTTATAGGACAAGTAGGACATGCAGCTGTAACCTCCAAGAAAACGGAAACACACCTGTAGAATGGGAGGAAATCTTTGCAAATCAGGTACTTAGTAAGAAACTTGTATCTAGAACATATAAAAGAACTCTTACAACTTAATTAAAACACAAATAACCCAATTTAAGAAATGGGCAAAGGATCTCAATAGACATTTCTCTGAAGAACATAGACAACAAAGGCCAATAGCAAATGAGAAGTGGCTCAAAATCATTAACTACGAGGAGGATGCAAATCAAAAGCGTAAGGAGCTATCACTTCTTAGCACCTAGGATGGCTCTAAAAAAAAGGTAGATAATAAGAAATGGTGCCTGGATTAGAGAAATTATAATCCCCATACATTGCCACTCTGTAAAAAAGGTAAAACCACTCTGGAAAACCATCTGGCAGTTCCTCAAAAGGTGAAACGTTGAGTTAATATAGACTTAGCAAATCCACTCCAAGGTATATATCCAGAGAAACGAAAATATATTTTCACACAAAAACTTACATACAAATATTTATAGCAGCATTATCCATAAGAACTGAAAAGTGGAAATAACCTAAATGTCTAACAACTACTGAACAGATAAACAAAATGTGGTATAGCCACACAAAGGAGTATTATTCAGCCATAAAAAGGAATGAAGTACTGATTCATGCCACAACATGGACGAAGCTTGAATATTCCAGCTTAGTGAATGAAACTGTCACTAGTGGACACTGTGATTACATTAATGGGAGATGTCCACAGTAGACTAAGCCACAGAAACAGAAAGTTGATTAGCAGTTGGCTGGAGTTTGGGAAAATTGGAGGTGACTGCTAAGAGACGCAGGGTTTCTTTTGGGAGTGATGAAAATGTTCTAAAAGTGATTGTAGTGGCAGTTGCAAAGCTGAACACACTGACAGTGAATCATACACTGTGAATGGATGAGTTGAATGATAAAAAACATACTGTTGTATCACAATTCCATGTTCGTTGTTGAGACATTGCTGAGAATAATTATAACAACAAAAATAACTCCTCATTCTTGTACTTTAAGTACTCCAGGCCTACTATTTTTTTAGTAGTTTATCAAATTAAACAGCATATGAATAAAACACTTTAACAATGATGTCTTCATAAAATGGCTCTTGCTTCAGTATTTTTGCTTCATCCAGAGTTTATCTATAAGCCAAAATAGTAAATTCATTTACTGGCCAGTGGTATTTGTATATTAATTGTTACAATTTCTAATGGTATAGAAAATATTTATTTAATAAGAACATTCAGAGGGTGCTTATCACCACTACTCCCAAACAACTGCATAAAACAGTGCAACCTCTTTTTAAGCAGAAAAATTACATCTCTGAGGAGTCACCATTCAAATCTAGGCTTGGACCTACTGAAAAACAATGATGGCCCTTTTCACAGGGCTGAAATTTACTGGTTTTAAAAAATGATAATACTTTCATTTGTTCTATTAGTGAATTATCATAGAATGAACTGACACCAATAATCCCATAAGAATAATACTTCTAAACCACTCAAGTAATTTGTTTAAAAAAATTTTGAAATAGTTCCTCAACAGCAAGTATGTTGACTACAAGTAAAATGGAATTCCTAGGAAAGGAAGAAATGTAGGCATTTCTTGCTATTGCTGTGATATAAAGGGAAGTTCTGATTCTTGTGAGACCACAGACTGATGCATATTTCATGGAAAGACTGAGTCCAGACTGGGCTGTTTCTCTAATACATTACTGAATAACTAGGACTAGGATATAAAACTGATAGATTGGCTGTGACACATGATCATCTAGCAAATAAAAATAGTAACATCTCTAATGAATCACAAACTGTCTCATTATTTCATAGTTTTGTTTGTTCAGATTTGCTTTACAATATTTAAAAAGTGTATATCCTGTTAAGGTTTATCAGTACCTTTACCCAGAGGACATAAGGAATTTTCCCAAAAGACAG